CCCCCAACAATTTGACGTTATAGTTCTGCAAACTTATGTTGTTAGAAAATGTAATGCTCTTTACGACTTTGGTTATCATTAGTCAAATATGTGTTTATCTGCATATTGAGAAATAATCAGACTATTGTCCAAAAGCCCAAGAAAAAATAAGGATGAATTTAAAGATATTGTGTTTATTTCAATTTTAGAGGAGATACAAACCTTGATCTACATTTTCCCATTAAACCATTGGTAATTTTACATTCATTAATTGGTATACAACTTTTAGAAGGACGTACAACAATATTACCTACTCTACCCTACCTAACAACTTAGTCTAACTACCATATACTACCTACTATCTACTACCTACTACCTACTACCTACTATCTACTACCTACTACCTACTACCTACTACCTACTACCTACTACCTACTACCTACTACCTACTTCCTAGGTTGAATGGGGAAGTATAACTGTAGTTGTTGAATTATCTACTCAAATAGTTCTCCTTACACAAGAAATAGGTTTGTTTCTTAGTTACCAAAAATAATCAATCTACTAAATATACAAAAAGCACGACATATAATTATGAAAAGAACACAATAGAACTAAAAAATAAAATTACAAAAAGAACAAAATAAAATTACAAAAAGCACAAAATATAATAAAAAAATTCAAAATATCTTACAAAAAGAACAAAATATAAATACAAAAAGTGCAAAATAAAATTACAAAAAGCACAAAATATAATTAGAAAAAGAACAAAATAAAATTACAAAAAGAACACAATATAATTACAAAAAGAAAAAATATAATTACAAAAAGAACAAAATATAATTAAAAGATTGCAAAATATAATAACAAAAAAAAATATAATAAGAAAAAGAATAAAATAAATTACAAAAAGAACAAAATATAATTAAAAAAGAACTAAATAAAATTACAAAAAGAACAAAATAAAATTACAAAAAGTAAAAAATATAAATGCAAAAAGAACAAAATAAAATTACAAAAAGTACAAAATAAAATTAGAAAAAGTAAAAAATATAAATACGAAAAGAACAAAATAAAATTACAAAAAGTACAAAATAAAATTAGAAAAAGAACAAAATAAATTTAGAAAAAGAACAAAATAAAATTAGAAAAAGAACAAAATAAAATTACAAAAAGTACAAAATAAAATTAGAAAAAGAACAAAATAAAATTACAAAAAGAGCAAAACATAATTACAAAAAGATCAAAATAAAATTACAAAAAAGAAATAATTTTTAATTTTAGAAATAAATATAATTGGAGAAGGCAGTCTTGTACATCGGCATACATCGGTAGTGCTAGATTTGAAGAACAGAGCAAATGAACTAGGAAACAGAAATTACTCTTTTAGAACATTTTTCACTTTTTTTCCTTTTAAATATGCTTAAAGGGTTAAACATTAATTTAAGCCATTACAAGAAGTTGAAATATTAAAAATACTGATGATTTATTTTTTTGTTTTTTTTTGTAAATTTTTTTTAAATCTAAATTTTTTGTTTGTTTCCTGCAGAGTTTATGGATATTATTGTGGATGAAACTGAGATTATCCCATACGAGATCTTTAGAAGATATATCTCAGGTTAGATTTTATCTGTCCAGTTGGAGACAAACTGTAGACTTCATTGCATATCCATTTAATAGCCTACCCTTAAAAGTATTGTATGGCCAAAAATGAATGAGATATCCATGATTAAGTTTAAGAAAGTTGGATACAAACTGTAGACACCATTGCATATCCATTTAATAGCCTACCCTTAAAAGTATTGTATGGCCAAAAATGAATGAGATATCCATGATTAAGTTTAAGAAAGTTGGATACAAACTGTAGACACCATTGCATATCCATTTAATAGCCTACCCTTAAAAGTATTGTATGGCCAAAAATGAATGAGATATCCATAATTAAGTTTAAAAGTTGTTACTTTCAGGTTCTGCTGTGGTTTTTCTATAAAAGAGATTTGCAGATTTCTTGCTACAGAAAACTGTTATAAATGAATATGTTTTTAAATTAAAGAACGATGATATCTTCCAATTGTGAATCGGACACGGGTCTCTTTTTATGAAGGGTCACTTGAAATCCCAACCCCAGTCCCTTTAATGAATAACATATGCAAAGCATAAAGCCCTAAAATACAATAAATATTTAAATCAAAAAAGAATTTATATTTCAAAAACTTCCCAAAAAAATTGTAAATTAATATTTATATTTTTAGGAAGTGCTAAGGGTTCGGTTACACTATCAGGAGATGTTCTTGGTCCAACATTTAGGAAAATATTCATTTAAAATTTTAAAATTTCATTTATTTCTTGAAAACATTAGTATTAATCAGCAAGAATAAGATTATATAAAATTTCGATTCCTTATCCTAAAAATAGCAAACTTATAAACGTATAATTTGTAGTCTTAAATATAGTCTGTATTTTGAAAAATGGTTGAAATTAATGATATTTAAAGAGATGGAGAACCAGTTTCATTATATACAGCCTTTCCCACAGGTACACCTTATACGGTACATAGGTACATGAGTTTAACCAAACTTCATACGGTACATAGGTACACCACACCTTATACGGTACATAGGTACAACACACCTTATACGGTACATAGGTACACCACACCTTATACGATACATTGGTTCACCACACCACACCTTATACGGTACATAGGTACATGAGTTTAACCAAACTTCATACGGTACAAAGGTACACCACACCACACCTTATACGTTATATAGGTACATAAAGTAAACAACATTTCACAAAGTACTTAGGTACACCACAAAGATACATGAGGTTAACTACACTTTACGCAGTTAATAAGTAAATAAGGTACACCACACCTTACACGGTACAGATGTACATGAGGTTAACCACACTTCACACGGAACATAGGTACATAAGGTACACCACACTTTACACACTCTATAAAACTTCGGTTTATTTCAAGTACCAGGCTGACTCCATAAGCAGCAGAGCAAGCTGTACTGTTCATATAAAGACTATACCGTATACAAGGCAAAACGGGACGGTACAGTACAGTATAGAGACTATACAGTATACAAGGCAAAACGGGACGGTACAGTACAGTATAGAGACTATACAGTATACAAGGCAAAACGGGACGGTACAGTACAGTATAGAGACTATACAGTATACAAGGCAAAACGGGACGGTACAGTACAGTATAGAGACTATACAGTATACAAGGCAAAACGGGACGGTACAGTACAGTATAGAGACTATACCGTATACAAGGCAAAACGGGACGGTACAGTACAGTATAGAGACTATACAGTATACAAGGCAAAACGGGACGGTACACCAAATGAATTAGCCCAATCTAGGGAGATTATAGTGAGCGCACGTCATGACTAAACATTAGTGAGAGGTGCTTGCTAATTTTTATATATATAAAGCATCAAATTGTTGCAGTGGATTAACTTGTTCATCATTGTTTCAAACGGTTTCACAGTTGATAGCAGTTTATCAGGCATCAACTCTGAGACATTTAAACTAGCTGACGAATCAAACCGCTATATTCAAAAGTTTCAATTCGCTTATGAAGCTAATCTTCACCACGTTTAAAAGTTCTCATCTGAAGAAGAAATACTTTTTGTTTTTAGGGCACGGAAAATATGGAAAAGGTGCTGAGTTCCATTTGTTTAATCTGGCAGCTAATACTTGGTTACTTCATTATCTCAGGTTTATACGAAATATCTAATTGTTTAAAATCAATCTTGTTTCCATGCTTTTTACATTTTTTGTTCGTATCAAAATGAAAAATCATTAAAGTATAAAATTTGAAAAGATTTCTTCTGATTTTCAAATTTTTAATTGTTCAGAGCTGGAAACTTAAGAATACCCTCAATACCGATCACTTAATCTGAATATTCACTGTGGACACTTGATTTCTGCTAGATCCGCTCCTTTCCCCTTTTTTTTGGATATCTGTACTGGTCTCCGACCAGTGAGAGTTCTTGCATTGAAAGGCGCGCCAAATTTAAAATTTTCCAGCTTTTGATTGGTTGTTCGGGATTCTGCAAAAAAATACCATTGGGTTTGGTTGAATTTTATTAACTTTCCTGGATACAAACTACAGATTAGAATGATCTTAAGATTAATAAAAAGAGGAGATCAAGCATTGATCTCGGTACTTAAAATAGTGTTTAACTCTGGCTATTCTGTTAAAACCTAAACCCCTAAATTGCGTAACTCAAATCATGATATATTCATACTGATATTTGTTCAGCCATATTCTTATTGAAATACTCTTAACAACTATCTTGATTTGCAACCAAACATCCGCCATTTTGAAAACTTTCTTGACTTATTTTATTTCGTCAAATGTACTTAGGAATCATGAAAAAATATAACTTATCATTTTTCAGATTGACAAATCAGTGGCAGGACCAGGACAGATCATTTATCTCTAATATATTTGAAGGAATGAATATAGGTAATCTTTTTATATAAAGTAGTAATCTCTGTTTGTTTCTTTGAATGTCCGATCATAACTAATAAATCACTTGACCGGTTTGCCTCCAATTTTTATTGGGGAACTTTGTAGAACCGTAGAAACATTTTTAGTTTGCTTTAAAAATTCTAAAATCAATGAATTGGTTTAGTATCCAGGTAATTTCTGAAGCTTTTTCTGAGTTAAACTAACACACAAAGTTTTTTTACAATACAGTATTTTCTAGAATTAACTGCAGTGTTGAGAAGATACTCTACGCAGGTGATAAAAATATGAATATTTTTTTTATTTTTTTTATTATAAAAAGTAGAGTTTTTAATAACAGTAATAAATTGTCAATTATACTTGCATGCTCTAAATGTATTAATATTTCAGGGCTCTCTCTCCATGTTTGATACTTCACCCCCATCAGGTAGTGTAGTGTAGTGTAGTGTAGTGTAGTGTAGTGTAGTGTAGTGTAGTGTAGTGTAGTGTAGTGTAGTGTAGTGTAATTTTATCATTATAGTTTGGTTGACGGCCTGGTGTCTCAGAATTTTCGAGGAACGACCAGACAATTTGAAATGAATCACAGCTTTTTATTCTTTTAATTGATTTGTGAATTACATATTTTTTGTTTGAAGATATTCATAATGTGTTGTCTGTTGATATTTCTTTTTATTCCATGAATTGCTAAATTTATATTTTGACATCAATTTTGTTTACTTAAAAAATTAAATATTTATTGCGGACAATAGTTTTCGATGAATTAAACAATTATTATTTATTTGCATTAGTCTAGATAATTTACCTTTTTTCACTGAGTTTGGTGTTGACAGGATGTTGCGTTCCAAGATTGGGAGGATTATATATACATTGATCCACATATATTCAAATCTTCAGGAACTATTTTAGATTAATTTATTGATTTCCTAAATTTGATCTTTAGGACGCTTCATTATAACCCTCTGGGTTTTTTTCAATTGAATCTTTGAATACGTTTTGTAAACAACAAAAACCAAACAAAAAATCTTGTATTTTTGCAAACTAATGTTGATAATTTAAATTATATTCTCTGCTTAATCCTATATTCAAATAAAAAAGGTACACACTATCAGTTTGTAAAGATATTAGATGTCTCTGCATATTTTTCTGAAACAGTTGATTAAAATATTTTAGTTTTGTGGCTGATAAACTTTCAACATATAGAAGGATACTTTACAGAAACAGAATATATTAAGGTAAATAAGTTCTATAATTTTTTTCTCAATATTTTTTAAAATTTAAAATTTAATTTTAGGTTCCATTTCTTCTTCACATGGCTGGATATGGTGGGAAGAGCAATAGTTCAAATCATGTTGCTTTAACTGCTCATGTACTCATTGCTCTTGATAAAGCTACTCCACGATTATCAGGTGATTCATGCAAAACTAACCTAAGCTAAGCATGGCCGGGCTCAATCAAAATTAACTTTGTCAAGTTAGATCTGGGACGGAATCTAATGAATTTGAGAGATCACTTAACTACCTACCGCCCTGTTCAAATCATGAATCGATCATGGATTCAAAGTTAAAAATTCATGAAGATTTGAATCGGTGATTCAAGATTTAATCCGGTGATAAGTAGTTGAGCGACCTGTCCAATTATTTAAATTTGATCACTGTGCTCATTCATATACCACCTAACAAACATGCCAGATAAAAAGTAAACGAAAAAGGTTTTTGATGATTTTTCAACCTGGTCAATAATTTAGCGTGGAATATATCAGATCACCATGATTACTATAAAAAGTGGATAAATTTAGAATACTAGGCTTTTAGGGCGCTTCGCGCCTATCTACTTTCCATCTTTTAATTATGACTTTAGCTGTGAGCATCTTCTCTTTGTACAGTATAACATTTTTTTAAATTGGCGGATTTCTTAATATTTTTTCGCGCATTTTCAAAATTTTTCAAAATTAAATAATTTAAGATAAAAATATTTTAAGATTACATATTTACAGTATGATTGGCCATAAACCCTCCCTGGGACCACGTGTGGTCCCACACAAAATTTGGGCCTGATCGGTTTAGCCGTTTTGACGTTTATTGGATACAAACAAACAGACACCCAGACAAGCCAAATTTATATATAGATGTAATTTAAACTCGTTACTCAGTTATTTTTCTGTTTTAGGACATGTTACCAAATACTGTAGTACTGCTAAATTGAGAGCTATAAAATTTTTAGGCAAAACATCATACTTTGTAATCTTCTTTATACCGGATTAATTTTCTGAAACATTTTACGAATTTGTTGATTTTAAGATCATAAATTGATCTGAGAGCTGAAAATGTCCAATTTACATCACAGTTTATTTTTCCTTTAGCATTCTAAAATTTAAATTTGTTGTTTTTTTATTTTGATCATAATATTAGATACTAAGCTAGAGGGTTGTTTTATCTCCTCTATCAAGTTACTTACTTACCTTTAACTTGCTGATTTATCTATTTTTTTGCAGACTTTTTTTTCGGAGGCAAAATTCATGAAATTCGACTGGTCATAACCATCTTGGTGTCATGCCAGTTTCCAAAAAATTGGATAATTCAAATTAAAAATGTTGTTTTTGAATAGAACGTAGCGTGGACCATATAACAGATGTTTATGAAATGGCAATCACAGGAAATTATTTTATTCTAGAAATTATTATTTCAAGTTGGGGTTAAAACATGAAACTACTCTCAGGTGTAGCTAAAAATATAATTCATTACATTTCAATCTCAACAAAAGGAAAGATAATGTTAAGCTGGTACAACCATGAAAACTTGAAAATATGAGTGACGTTTAGCTGAATTATTGTTTTAGTAAAAACATTTTAAGCTTATAATTTGTACAAATTCTTAAAGTTAAAAAATAAATTTAGTTAAAGCATTAAATCAAATATTTACACATTTATGTCTACTCCTGCTGGGAGTTTAAATGATATTTTTTTCTCTAAAAACTATTTTGGTCAAATGATAAAAAAATTGAATTGAATATTTTCTTCAGCTTATGCTCTGGCAGTCGCAGGATCATCAGAATCAGAAGAAGCATATAGAGAATTGTTCAGGTATATAATATTCATTTGTAAGAAAACAGTCCTTTTCAAAATATACTTTATTATCTCTTTATTTAGTATGCGAAGGTATATTATTGATTTGATTTTTCAAAATATATTTTATTATCTCTTTATTTAGTATGCGAAGGGAGGAGGGAGGAATGAGTTATTGGAGTAGAACTAAAATAGGTAAAATCTTATCTATTCTTTAATTTCTAGATGTCTTAAAATTTTAAAGACAACAATTATTTTTAAAGGGATAGTTTTAATAGCTGCCGCACTATATTTTCTTTGAACCCAGACATAACTGAGCATAAGCTGTTCTGTTGATATAAAAAAATAAAAATAAGAATATTTTCAATATTCCAATTGCCCTAAAATAGTTGTATTGGTTTTAAGTGTGCACACCATTTGAATATCTTAAAGTACACAAAGCTAAATCTTGTTTATTGTAGTGAAATTAATGTTTGTTGTTCTAGCGACGAACCGTGTACGGTACGAGTTTAACCGACCCTTCCTTGAAGCTAAGGAAAGACAGGACAATGATGCCCTAGCAGTAGAAGCAACAGGTACAGTGCGGTACAGCACAGTGCAGTACAGTATAGTACAGTACTGTACAGTGCAGTACAGTATAGTACAGTACAGTACAGTGCAGTACAGTATAATACAATATAGTACAGTACAGTACAGTGCAGTACAGTATAGTACAATATAGTACAGTACAGTACAGTGCAGTACAGTACAGTATAGTACAATATAGTAAAGTACAGTACAGTACAGAACTGTAAAATTTTGTTTTCTTTATAGGGTAAAACCACTTTTTAAACAAAATTATGAAACATTTTTATTGAGAAAAGCTATCCTTTAAACGGTGTTATTTAACCCTAGGATACGCACTGTTAACCCTATTCAGGGTGGATGGAGGGGGAATCACATTTATGCAGGTTAAAATACATATTATTTACAGAGGATTTTTTATCCACATTTTCTCAAATTTTCTGATTGATAAATCATTTTTTTATGTACAGACTTCAGAGACGACTATACGGAATTTATATGGTCTGTTTCCATATTTGCATGGTTTCCTTCACTAATAATTTGTTTCTTTATTTGCAAAATCATAAAATAAGTCCGTAAAAGACTATATACAGAGCAGAAATCTTAATTTAATCTTAGGATTGTCCTTCTTTTTAAGTTTCAGGTCGTCTTTACAGTCTCTTCTGTTGCGGGTATTTCTATTGGATAGATTTGTAAATAAAATATTGGTAGATTAATAGATTGATGGATTGATAGATTAATGGGTTGAGGGTTGATTAGTTGATAGGTTGGAAGGTTGAAAGGGTGATTTACTAATATAATATTAGATTCTTATGAAAAAGATTCATATATATGAATTAATTAAGATTGGTTGATAATTGATTTCTTGATCTTTATGTGGATTGATTGACAGATAAATTGATAAATTGATAGTTGATAAACACTTGATTTCTTGATATGTTGATTAATTAATATAATATTTGATTTCAATTCTATGGTTGATTAAATGATTTGTAAATCAATTGACTGATTAATTAATCAATTAATTAATGAAATAACTGATTAACTGATCAAATGATTATTTGATTTATTGATTTATTGATTAATTGATTAACTGATTAATTGATTGTATAGGATCAGATTGTGAAATGGTTGAACACTATGAGGATGGGGGTTGGAGGGTTTATTTCTACAGGAATACAGAATATTAAATACAAAATACATTTTTTATTAAATTCTAAATTACGACTGACTAATATTTTCTGTTCAGCTTACAATATTTCGACTAGTTGACTTATTTGTAGACTGCAGTTGATATTTTGCAGTACAAATATCAAACTAAAACGAAATCGTTAATTTAACGTCTGAAAAGAAAATCAGTTGCAAACTTGCAGATGTTGTAGCATATTTTTTGTTAGAATTTATTTAATATTTGTGAGTTCTAGTTGATACTATTGTTGCTCTAGAGGCTTTAGTCAGATACTCCTATCATAATAATATCAAGGAATAGAACATTTATCATTAATCATTTGGTTTAAACAAAATACGGTTAAATGGAACGCTTTCAGTATGTTAAAATATATCATTTATCATCATTTATCGGATTCAAAACGGTAGCCATTTTGTCTTATGTTTTTATCATAGGGTCCTGCGGACTATTGCAACAGAGACATGTTGTGAAATGAACACAATTTATCTCATTTCAAGTTAGAAAATCAGTTTGTTATGTAAGCAAAGGTTTGGTACCATAATGTAATTTTTTAAATGGTGGATTATTTAAAAAATACGACGACATTTCCTTAAATGGTGAATTATTTCAAAAATACGACGACATTTCCTTTAAATCTTAAATTTAAAATGTTGTTTGTTGAGAACAGGATTTATCCAACATGTTTGTTACAGTGGAACATCCAGACTCAAACCTTACAGAAACCTTCCATATTCTTAGGTAATCAGGGATAAAATCTTATGAATACCTAGCAGTAGTTGAACTGCGAAGACGTAGTTCAACCTCTATTTTTTTGCTCCAAAATGTAGTTGAAGTGAGTCTAAGTGGTTCAGTCATGTCCCCCTATTAATTTATTCTGGTCACATGACACGAGATTTAATAGAAAAAGTAATTTAACTGAGTAGCGAGGTTCAACTACGTCTCGTTTTCCATTAAATCAGGTACCTGGGAGATTACATCATTGTTCATCTTATTTTATCCTTTTTCAGCAAAATTTGTTTAGCTTTTAAGAAGCGAAAATTTGAAAAGTCTAATTGCATGTTTAAAAATGTTAAAATATTAAAAACGTTTTCTACATAATTTTAGCCCTAACAGAAGAAAATAGACGCCAATTAGATTTTAGGAAAGGGGAAGGGGGGTTCGTATCTAAGGTTTTTTTTTTGGGGGGGGAGGGGGGTTTAAGATTTAATATGTGAAACCTTGTAAATAATTATTATTTTTTTAGAGAAGGCAAAGCTCTCCAGGATCTGATAAGATTTAAAAATCCTTATCATTAAATAAAATAACAAAAGGACTATTTTTTCTTTCCAATTTTTGACACATCTTTGAAATACAGGATTATCCACCAAGGATGAGACTCAGAGACGACTTTAAGACATTTATACTCTCTGTTTCCTTATATTCATGGTTCTCTGCAACTGTTAACTTCTTTCTTTCTTTGTCAAATCAATAAATAAGCCATTAAACGACTTTAATTTGGACTTGATTCAACCTTGGAATTAACATATTTAAAGAGTTTCAGGTCGTCTTTAAAGTTTCATCCTTTGAGGGTAACCCTGGTTTATATCCTCTGAGAATTTGAATTTTTCTCAATTTACTGAGAGAGGTTTTGTGTGAGCTAGGAGTGAGTACTGGTATAGAATTGCCTCTGGAAAATGTTTGGGGACATGTTAACTTTAAAGCAACGGTAAATATCTTAAGAATATATTCTGTTTTAATATTTTATTTACGGAGAACAAACCAGAAAAACCAGAAAACTGTGGAATTGGGAGACGACATAAAAAAAAATTAAGTGTATTTAATGTTGTTTACAAAAAAAATAGTTTTACTAGTAGCTTATAAATCTTTTATTATCATAAATGGGTCTATTTACACTTCACAATTGCTGTTTATCCTGTTCATTGGACTATGTAAAGTCAAAGCTTGAGTCTAAAAGTCGTCTTCCTACTCTAGAGTTGTCTAGTTCTCAATGTACTATTGTATACTATGATATGCTACAGAAATTATAATTACTTTCGTTCATGTGAAGCTAACCATTTTTTTTGCTTCGATGATAACTTTTTTTAAGGGAGCTGCTCAATCAGTAGCTTAGCTAAATATAACCTATTAATAATGTTTAGAGAGACGGATAATCAGTTGCTCAGCTGGATATAACCTATAGATAATGTTTAGGGAGACGGACGATCAGTTGCTCAACTGGATATAACCTATAGATAATGTTTAGGGAGCCGGACAATCAGTTGCTCAGCTGGATATAACCTATTAATAATGTTTGGGGAGACGGACAATCAGTTGCTCAGCTGGATATAACTTATAGATAATGTTTAGCGAGCCGGACAATCAGTTGCTCAGCTGGATATAACCTATAGATAATGTTTAGGGAGCTGTTCAATCAGTTGCTCAGCTGGATATAACCTATAGATAATGTTTAGGCCGGACAATCAGTTGCTCAGCTGGATATAACCTATAGATAATGTTTAGGGAATCAGTTGCTCAGCTGGATATAACCTATAGATAATGTTTAGGGAGCTGTTCAATCAGTTGCTCAGCTGGATATAACCTATAGATAATGTTTAGGTAGACGGACAATCAGTTGCTCAGCTGAATATAACCTATATATAATGTTTAGGGAGCCTGATAATCAGTTGCTCAGCTGGAAACCTATAGATAATGTTTAGGGAGCCGGATAATCAGTTGCTCAGCTGGAAACCTATAGATAATGTTTAGGGAGCCGGATAATCAGTTGCTCAGCTGGACCTATATATAATGTTTAGGGAGCCTGATAATCAGTTGCTCAGCTGGAAACCTATAGATAATGTTTAGGGAGCCGGATAATCAGTTGCTCAGCTGGAAACCTATAGATAATGTTTAGGGAGCCGGATAATCAGTTGCTCAGCTGGATATAACCTATAGATAATGTTTATGGAGCTGTTCAATCAGTTGCTCAGCTGGATATAACCTATTATAGATAATGTTTAGGAAGCCGGACAATCAGTTGCTCAGCTGGATATAACCTATAGATAATGTTTAGGGAGCCGGACAATCAGTTGCTCAGCTGGATATAACCTATAGATAATGTTTAGGGAGCCGGACAATCAGTTGCTCAGCTGGATATAACCTATGGAATTGATTATCCATCTCTAGTGGTAACTGGTTAAATCTATCATTTTTTAAATAGAAAGAATAAAATGTAAATAACTAATTTAAAAAAAAAAAAATTTGGTAAAAATTTGTAAAAAAAATTTGAAATTTGTTATTTTAGAGTAATTGATTTCAGAAGAGAAAATTGTGAAATTATTCTGATAAATTGTAAACCAACAAGGAGAATGAATTAAATCATATTCTGATAAATTGTAAACCAACAAGGAGAATATTCTGATAAATTGTAAACCAACAAGGAGAATGAATTAAATCATATTCTGATAAATTGTAAACCAACAAGGAGAATGAATTAAATCCTATTCTGATAAATTTTAAACCAACAAGGAGAATGAATTAAATCATATTTTTTATAAGGAACTGTATCACAGTCCTAAATTATAAAGCAATATTTTCAGGACCACCCACCGAAAAAATGTTTTGAACTAAACATAAAGGTAAAAAATTTTTAAAAATGAAGATTTAAAAATTAATTCATAGCTAATTTATGTGTTTTAACATGTCTTTAGAAGTTCCAATTGTCAGCCAAATAAACTACTTACGTACATATTTGATAATTCAGCTTATTTCATGTTTTGCCTTTATACAAACAAATCTTAGTGTGAACACATTGTTAGTTTATGGCTTTAAACATCAAAGCTGAACACGGTTGTGACGTTTTAATTTTCTAAAAACATGATGGAGAAACATGAGAAAAGGAAAACATTAAAAATTAAAGTAAAAATCGTATCTCTGACTCCATTTTGAAAATTAATAAAAACGCGGATTAAATGATTAAACTTATATTTTTTTTCTTTCTAATATATATATATATATACTTTGCTTCTCTGGGTGTCTGTTTGTCCGTTTGTTTCCAATAAGCGTGAAAACGGCTGAACTGATCGGGCCTAAATTTTGTGTGGGACCTTATAAGACCCAAGGGAAGGGTTTATAAATGCTCAGAATTACTTAAGTGTCTCAATAATTGTGAAAATCCATGATAAAAAATATAAATCCGTAAAAAAAATATTTTTGTTTTATCTAAGAGAAAATGCAGAAAGAGCAACTATTAAAAGTTGAAATAAAAGATTAGCCTAGTGTACTTCTATGTTGCTATAAGATTTAAAATATAATATGTCCCATTGATTCAAAATATGAACGCTCTCACGCAAACATCTATTTTGCCAATTAATTCTTTTAAGCTAAAGCTAGAAACAATCTTGATGCACATAATATCTAGGAATACAAAAATAAATAAGTTAGTAAGCAAAGACACTTCAAAGTCGAATCATTTTTGAAATTTGATTCACACTTTTTATAAATTCCTGGATCTCTTTCATGTGTCTCTATTTGTTTCAGGAAATGTTTGCTGGGCGAAATAAGTCTGAGATAACCTACGACACCTGTTTTAAATGGACCTGCATAGATGAAAGTCCACAGTCAGGGTTCGCTATGCTGGTTTTAGATATACCTTCAGGTTACAACAATATAAGAAGAAATATGCATATCAGATATGATCATGTTTATGTACGCATTTTACATCCGTTGAATGTCGGTTGATTTAGTTGCATTCACATTTTATGAGTATTTAATATTAAAGTTGTTAATTTTAATCCGAGCAACGGATTTTAATTGTATTCCAAACTGCACATTTTTTGGATCTAATTTTGTAATCCCTAAATTTTTGCAACCTGATGGTGGAAACCTTTGATACTTCCAACTCTGATATGATGGAGTTAAGATAAAATATCAAAGGTCTATGACATGGGATTCAAAAATTAGAATCCTCTGCGAGTTTCTATTTTTGTTTATTTCTTAAACTTTTTATTTCTAGTTCTTGTATTTGTATATTTGTGTAGGCTATATCCTGCTGCAGCCTGATGTATTTGTATAATTGTGTAGGTTATATCCCACTGCAGCCTGATGTATTTGTATATTTGTGTAGGCTATATCCTGCAACAGCCTGATGTATTTGTAATTGTGTAGGTTATATCCTGCTGCAGCCTTATTTATTTGTATAATTGTGTAGGTTATATCCTGCTGCAGCCTGATGTATTTGTATAATTTTGTAGGTTATATCCTGCTGCAGCCTGATGTATTTGTAATTGTGTAGGTTATATCCTGCTGCAGCCTGATTTATTTGTATAATTGTGTAGGTTATATCCTGCTGCAGCCTGATGTATTTGTATATTTGTGTAGGTTATATCCTGCTCCAGCCTGATGTATTTGTATAGGTTATATCCCGCTGCAGCCTGATGTATTTGTAATTGTGTAGGTTATATTCTGCTGCAGCATTATTTATTTGTATAATTGTGTAGGTTATATCCTGCCGGAGCCTGATTTATTTGTAATTGTGTAGGTTATATCCTGCTGCAGCCTGATGTATTTGTGTATTTGTGTAGGTTATATCCTGCTGCAGCCTGATGTATTTGTATATTTGTGTAGGTTATATCCTGCTGCAGTCTGATGCATTTATATAATTGTGTAGGTTATATCCTGCTGCAGCATGATGTATTTGTATAATTGTGTAGGTTATATCCTGCTGCATCCTGATGTATTTGTATAATTGTGTAGGTTATATCCCGCTGCAGCCTGATGTATTTGTGTATTTGTGTAGGTTATATCCTGCTGCAGCCTGATGTATTTGTATATTTGTGTAGGTTATATCCTGCTGCAGCCTAATGTATTTGTATAATTGTGTAGGTTATATCCCACTGCAGCCTGATGTATTTGTATATTTGTCTAGGTTATATCCTGCTGCAGCCTGATGTATTTATATAATTGTGTAGGTTATATCCTGCTGCAGCATGATGTATTTGTATAATTGTGTAGGTTATATCCTGCTGCATCCTGATGTATTTGTATAATTGTGTATGTTATATCCCGCTGCAGCCTGATGTTTTTGTATATTTGTGTAGGTTATATTCTGCTGCAGCCCGATGTATTTATATAATTGTGTAGGTTATATTCTGCTGCAGCCTGATGTATTTGTATATTTGTGTAGGTTACATCCTGCTGCAGTCTGATGTATTTGTAATTGTGTAGGTTATATCCTGCTGCAGCCTGATGCTGTGAAGATAGTAAGGTCTGGAGTTATCCCTGAGCTTCGAGATGCAGATATGGAGAAAGCAGGGAAAACAATCTGGTTCTTTGATTATATAAGTAGTAAACTACAGTGCTTCTCACATACTGTTAGGTAAGTCTAACATCTTAATTATCGTAAAGGATCATGATTTCTTTCCGTCAAATAATCTATTAATGGATGGAGGTTCATTTGGTGTACTGTCCAGTTTTACCGTCTTTGTCTGTATATGTACTGTACAGCTTGCCCTAGCTGCACCTAATAATCAGTCCGGTACTTTATATGAACCGGATATTTGTCATCTTAAGGATTTGAGTGACTGAAATATAAGTAAACCTGCAAATATCCATGTCTTAAATCCAGTTTTAGGAAACTTTATAACTGACCTAAGAAATTCCATATATTAATACAGATAACAAATAATAAGGATTAAGCCCATTTACTTATACAAACTAGGGCAGAGGGACCATAGAAAGATTATATAAGGATTATGGACAGACGATAGATAGTGGACAAAATGGATATTATAACTTAACTTCTGTAGACTTTAATAGGGGACTTAAAACACATAGGGAATATGACCAAGCCAGGGACTAACAGATACTAAGAAATACATAAAAGACACTAGAAGAAAAGACATTTTTTGGCTTTTCGCGTACAAATTCAACAAATTGACTCATGTAGTTTATTTTACAGCTGTTGAAAGTATAATTTTTTAAACACAAGAACAAGTCAAAAATTATAATAAGAAATCGGTATATATTGAGCACAGAGTCAAACCTTCAACAAACGAAAAATTCTTTTTTTGACTTAAACGAAAGGGCTTTTCAAAAATGTATAATTTTTCATTTTTTGGACAAATTTTTTTTGCAAACATTTTTACTATATAACTGAATTTTGCGATAAAAATTCAATTTTTGCAAATTTGCAAATTTTTTGCAGATTCTAAAAGTAGAGCACAAGAGCTTTTTTAATGATGTATCATTTGTCATATTTGGACATAAAACATGGGATTTAGAGGGGGGGGGGGTCAAATTGACCCCCCCAGCATATCCTGGTTTTCAAGTACCCCAGCAGGGATAGGGTACAGCGCTTCCATTTTGAAAAAAATTAAAGTTTATAACTAATTTTCAATCCTGTCACAATTTTCGCTAACAGTCTCTTTTTCCATTTATAGCTATTTTATTTTTAATACTTTTAGGCAGGGGTCAATATAATTCCCTTTTCAATCCCATTTGGGATTGACAAATTTGAAAGAAATGGGGGCAAATTCTTTAATTGGGGGCAACTTTTTTTTATATGATAATTTAAAAAAAAATTGGGGGCATTTTTTTTAAAAAT